ACATCAAACACAACCCAACAACCTAAACAACTAAATCAAAATCATAACCCAAACCCCATCTATTATTAAATCTTTGTAAATCTAAATATAAAATGTAAAAAGGAGATACACATACTTAGACGAAATGTCAGGAGGAGGAGGAGGGGGATCTTTGCCGGAGAAGATGTTATGTGGAGGAGAAGAAAGTGTTAATGGCGGAGGAACAAGAAGAAGATATAGAGGAATGAGGAAGAAGAAGATGTAAAGGAAGAGGAAGAAGAAGAAGATGTAGAAGAAGAAGAAGATGTTGACGAAGCCAAGAAGAAGAGAAGAAGATGCAGAGGTAGAGATGCGTTAATGGCAGGAGGAAGAAGAAGGTTTTTGGGTTTATTGCAACAATTTGGGTTGTGGAAATTTAGATAATTTTGAAAAGATTACATTAATCCTAATTAAGCACTAATTACCCTTAATCAATAATATGGCTATTTATTAACATTTTAAAATTGATAGCCTTTTAATTAAATGTAAACTTCAAATGTCTTTTTAATAAACTGCCCGGTTAAATCATACAATCTCACAGGAAATGAGTGTGGGAGAATATTTGTCTGAAACCTGTAGGGTTTACATGTAATTATCCAGACACCGAGGGCGTGTTAAACGAAAGCAAATTATTAGACCTTTCACTCCCTCTCTCATCTCTCTTTTAATCTAATGAACGTATTCGTCTTTACACTTTATCTTATTTTAAACCATATTTGCTATATATTACAACATTGCATATTTCTTCTCTTTTCTTTATGTCATTGCTCGTGTTTAAACGAAGAATTAACATAATAGTGTATATAAAGGATGAACACGGGTAATGGATAGAACCAGAATCGGAGGATAGATCGAATTAGAACCAGAACTGGTACTGTGCAGGTAGGTTCGATTCCAATTTTTTGGAACCGATACTGTGCGATTCCGGTTCCGGTTTTGTGTGTGGAGGAACTGGAACCGGAACCGGAAAAAAAGGGTACCCTGTTTGGAACCTGTAGGGGGTATCCAGTTTGGAACCGATTTTTGGAACTTGTTTTGGAACCTGTTTGGAACCTGTTTGGTATCTATTTTGGAACCTGTTTGGAACTGTTTTGGAACCTGTTTTGGAACTTGTTTAGAACGTTTAGAACCTGTTTTGAAACTTGGACTACAATGAAATATTTGTGAAATGTGAATAATGGAGGGTTTCTATTATTTTACATATAAAAAATTTAAAATAGAAAAAGTTAAATTTTTAGAATAACCTAATTAAATAAATATACGAATACAATTATACTTATTACATATAAATTACACCATATTAAAAGTTTAATATATTATAATACATTAAATTAAAGTTTTGATAATTAGGTGAATAATTGGAATATGATCCCATTAAAAGTGTTTTATATTTTTAATGTATTAAAAGATTTTATTGAATAAAATAGTATATTTGATTGAGTAATAATTATTAGTTATTTACTTCAATATCAAGTTCTAAGTAATTTATAATAAATTAGTAATTAATTAATTATATATGATAAATTGATAAATATAATAAATTTAATTACTAGTTAAATATCATACTTAATTAATTATAACATTACATTATAGTTAAATGATTACTTAATTAATTGTAATTTTATAACATTATTTAATTGATTTATATTATAATTAATTATAGCATTACATTAATTGATTACTACTTAATTAATTAACTTATAAGTTATAACATTTAGTATATTACTTAATTAAATAATTAGAAATTTAATTAATTATAGCATTGCATTATAGATTTATAGTATAATTACTTAGTCAATTATAACATTTTATTATAAACTCATATTAGGAACACATAAATTACTATCTTATTTGGCCGATAGTTTTGTCTCTCGAGTTCAAGTCTTCAAGGTTGTTAATACTGGTGGCCACTAGAACTCTTATTCGGCTGATAATTTTCAAAATCCCTAAAAAAATAGTTGAGATGTGCACAAATTGTCCGAACGCTCCAATCATTAGAAAAAAAAAAAATCAATATTGATATGGATCTAAATTCCAAACCCGCAAATGCCATGTTCATCCCCATGTGAATGAGATTAATTTATAACTTACTAATGACCATTTATTTTCTCGAAGATCACAATCAAATAATAATTCCCATTAAATAAAATTTAATTATCAATTTCTACAATATATATATTTATATAATCCCCAAGCCCACCCTCTCTATTAATCGCCATTTGGACTCCATGTAGGATGCCACATAGGATCTTAAGAGTTCTATTAATATATGATTTCCATGTAGGAAGATTCATGTTAGTCCCTTCACATTCACATAAATATTAATAACAATTAAATAGTGGCATCCCAAAGGTCTCAATAAAACTTTCTTTATATGTAAAATGCTATTAATTAGTATTAATAGCACATATTGGGCACCCAAAGGTCTAATTAAAAAATATATAGATTCATGTTAGTCCATTCACATTCACCTAAATATTAATTACAATTAAGTAGTGACATCCCAAAGGTCTCAAGAAAACTTTGTTTATATATAAATTGTTTTTTATTAGTAATAATAGCACACATTAGTCCCTTCACATTCACCTTGCGTCGGAGTCATGCCAAGAAGTTGTTTATTTTTTATGGTTTTGTTTAGTTTTTTTGTATAATGATCTGTATGGTCCTAATGGGTTTATCTTTAGTTTCTGCTATTGATTTCACATTTGGTCTTTGATGGGTTGTCTTTAATTTTTGTAAAGGCATAGATTTATCACTTTTGAGACCATTGGCGGGGACTTGGTACCCTTACTGGGTCAGTTATAATGTAAAGATGGTAGATTTATTCAACGAGGCATTGTCTTTATAATTTGTTAATTTATTTGTGATTGCTTTATTTGTAGGTACTAGAACCTAGGAAGAGGTTAGTGAAGAAGGATGGATCAATTGAGCTGGAGAAACTTTTAGGGACAAGGATCGTTGCACAATGTGTAAGGATGAGAAGGTTGTTCAGGAGAAGAAGGTATTGGAATTAGTAGTTGAGAAGGGTATGAAAAATGGACAGAAGATTACATTCCCTAGAGAAACTGATGAAGCTGTAAGTGAATAATTCATTTTTAGTTTTATTAGATTCTGTTTGATCTTAGAGAAAATTGACTACCAAGGAAAGAAAAATGGAACTTGGAGTTTTAAGTTATTTTTCCTTCCGTTTTTTAAGCAATGTTGATATGGTAGTTGAAGAGATATGAGGTTTCAGTTTTGCGAATTATGTTTTTGTCGTCAAGAAATTTGAGGAATACAGCTCAAGGAAAAGATATGTACTGAAAATATATATTTTTTTTCTCAAGTTTCTCAGACTCCAAATAGAGTTGAGAATTAACTTTTTCAGTAATTAATTATTTGATCTGCTTGATTGTACACGGATTATTACGTAATTTGCAGGAATATGTATACAACAGGCTCCAATTAAGGTATAATTTGCATATAAGTATTGTTTTTTTTTTGGTAACATTTTAATGATTTTCTTTATGTATTTGTTAATTAGTGATCTGAAATTTCAAGGATTAGTTTGTAAATTTTGATCAATGGACACCTTTTGTTTTCCTAGTTTTGGTTGGTACTTCACATTCGTTCAAGGATTTGTCTATATCGTTCTTATTTATCTTCAAGGTTTCACCACTAAACAGATGGTGGATTGATGGTGAATCCATAGAAGACTTATGTGAAGCTCTCTATAGTCCTAATGGATTCTCATGGTTTGGCTTTCTTAACTATCCAACACAGCTCACGTTCAAATCCACAAAGGTAAATATTTAACTCCATCACTTTTTTAATTTTCTGTTTAAAAAAATAACAATTTTCCTTACCAGACGTTTTGATAACTTCAGTTTTTGATAGTCAAATTGGGTCTCTTAATCTGTAATGATGTAAATGACTCAAATTAGCTCATTGACTCTTGCTATGTGAATCAAGTAAACGAGATCAATTTGGCTATAATTGAAAATTTATTTTGTCATCTCAGGTTTCGCCAGTAATGGTCATGGGCACATTCATACTGGGCCTCAGACGAAAATACCCAGTTCATGGATATGTATCTACAATACTTTTAGTTGTGGGGATGACTCTTTTTACCTTAGCAGATGCACAAACTTCACCAAATTTCAGTATGATTGGTGTTATAATGGTATCGAGTGCTCTAATCATGGATATGTTTCTTGGTAATTTGCAAGAAGCAATCTTTACCATGAATCCTGAAACCACCCAGGTGACTATCTTGTGCTAAGCTTTTGTGTTGTTTCTTAAATTGAAAAATTGTGACTTTATCTGGATATCATCTTACTCTGTGACTTCTGTTAGTTTCAATCTTAATTGTTTTATTTCATTTATTTATTGTTCAATTGGTGACTGTAAAGAACAGATCTACCATTTTTACATCTATAGAGAACATGATTTCTCAAATTTCCAGATTATGTGGTTTTAAATTTCAGAATTAGATTAATTTGAGCTAGAAAGGCCTGATTTTCAGTCCATAGACTCATCAAATTCAGTTNTCATCAATTCCAACAACCCATTAGCTTCCTCCATCTTCCCCACCTCGCAAAGCCCACTTATCATTATAGTGAATGTCACCACATCAGGTTGCAAACCTCTTTGATTCATCAATTCAAACAACCCATTGGCCTCGTCCATCTTCCCCACCTTGCAAAGCCCATTTATCATTGTATTAAAAGTCACCAAATTAGGCTGCAAACCTCTTTGATTCATCAATTCCAACAACCCATTAGCTTCTTCCGTCTTCCCCTCCTTGCAAAGCCCACTTATCATTATAGTGCACGTCACCACATCAGGCTGCAAACCTCTTTGAATCATCAATTCAAACAACCCATTAGCTTCCTCCATCTTCCCCTCCATGCAAAGCCCATCTATCATTGCATTAAAAGTAACCACATTAGGCTGCAAACCTATTTGACTCATCATTTCCAACAACCCATTAGGTTCCTTCATCTTGCCCTCCTTACAAAGCCCATTTATCATTGTAGTAAATATCACCACATCAGGCTGCAAACCGCTCTGACTAATCTATTCCAACAACCCACTAGCTTCCTCTATCTTCCCTTCCTTGCAAAGCCCATTTATCATTGTAGTAAATGTCACCACATTAGGCTGCAAACCTCTTTGAATCATCCATTCCAACAACTCATTAGCTCCCTCCATCTTCCCCTCCTTGCAAAGCCCACTTATCATTATAGTGCACGTCACCACATCAGGCTGCAAACCTCTTTGACTCATCAACTCCAACAACCCATTAGCTTCCTCCATCTTCCCCTCCTTGCAGAGCCCATTTATCATTGTAGTAAAAGTCACCACATCAGGCTGCAAACCTCTTTGACTCATCAATTCCAACAATCCATTAGCTTTATCCATCTTCCCCTCCTTGCAAAGCCCATTAATCATTGTATTAAAAGTCACCAGATTAGGCTGCAAACCTCTTTGAGTCATCAATTCCAACAACCCATTAGCTTCCTCAGTATTCCCCTTCTTGCAATGCCCATTTATCATTGAATTAAAAGTCACCACATCAGGCTGCAAACCTCTTTGAATCATCAATTCCATCAACCCATTAGCTTCCTCCATCTTCCCCTCCTTGCAAAACCCACTTATCATTGTATTATATCTCAATAAATTAGGCTGCAAACCTTGATCCACCATCTCATTAAACAATCTCTCAGCCTCTTCCAAATTTCCCACAAAACACCAACCGTAAATTAGAGAGGTGCAAACAACCACATTTGGCTTAATTCCTCTACTCTTCATTTCCGAAAACAATTCTTTAGCCATATCTACCAACCCATCTTTGCAAAGACCATTGACAATACTACCATAAGAAACAATATCTGGCCTAACCCCAAACACATCCATTTTCTTGAACAACTCCGTAGCCTCCATACTCCTATTCTCCAAACACAAACGTTTAATCAAAGAATTAAAAGTTACAGCATCTGGGCTAAAACCCCAGCTCAAAATCCTCCAAAAAACAACAAAACCATCACAAACTCGACCCACATTACAAAAACAATTAATCAAAATATTCAAAGTAATTAAATCTGGCAACAACCCAATTGAACCCAGTCGTTTGTATAGTAAAATAACGTCTTTATAAAACTTCTTCTTAGCAAGAGCTCCAAACAATCGGAATGAGAATAGGTGGTTTGGGTTGCATATAGTCATTAAACAAAAGAAATAGCATGCTTCAGCAAGACTGAAATTACCTTGTTTACAGTCTTTAAAGGATATATCGGCCTCGCTACATCTTCACACGTTATATACTGAATCTTGTGGTATAGTTGTAGTCACTTTACTTGAATTTGTGACTAAAGATAGATTTTGGTTTCAGAAAAGAAGAACAACGAAGAAAGGTTTTGGACACCATTTGATTAGCGGTGTTTGAGGATATCTAGGGTTCTAACAGGCTGTCTTTTGTGGTTAAATCGAAAAATTTAGCTGTCCGGTCATCCCAAGTATCTATTTAAGAAAATGGCCTTGAAACTGTTCATCAAATTTTTTTTAATTTAGAGAAATTAGTGGCATAGTTAGGATTAATTAACACTAAAATGGGTTAAAATGAAAAGATTGAAACATATGTGGGCCAATCAGAAATAATGAGAAAGTTTTTAAAATTTGAATTTCGCAAAACAAGCCCACTAACATCACCTCTCTTAATCGAAATTCATCAGTTCAAAAGCATTTCTTGAACGAAAGGGAAACGCGATTTTTTCCAATCGACACCAATTGATTTGCACCCTAAATCAATTTCTTGAACCCTAAACCAATACAGTCGTGATTTTCGGTGATATATGCCGCGATTTTCGATCGATTTGTTGAACCCTAAAATCGATTTCCTTAACCGTAAACGAAAACTGTGCCATTTCCTCGGCGATACAGTCCAGATTTTATCGAAACTGCAAACTTTGACACCAAATTCAATCCAAAATCATGATGACACTGACAATGAGGAGGGAAGCCCACACCACTTCGAATCCTAGATTCCGGTGGTGCAAGCAGTTCAATGGCTGCTCCGTTGGATCATCTGACCAGTGAAGTGGTCCACGCGTAGAGGAACGCGGCGGCACAAGAACAGAGGAAGAACCAGCAAAGGGGTCTGAAGACGAGGAGTCAGGCGAGAATTCGGCTAGAAGGAGGATTCCGGAGAGAATTTAGCCAGGAGGTGGATTCCGGCGAGAATTTAGCCAGGAGGAGTCGCCAGAGGATCCAGGCGATGAGGAGAAGGCCGGCGAATAGGGTATGTAGTTTGGGTTGCTTGTAATTTCGCTTAGTGATCATTTGTATCGCTTAAGCGATTATTCTGTTTTACCTCGTGATCGCAGCAATGATCCTTAAGCTAAAAAGGATTGCTTAAGCGATCTGATGTCTGGGCAGATTGATCTCCAGACCTAGATCGCTTAAGCGATCATGAGTGTTTACTCTTGGTCGCTTAAGCGATCTTAGGTCTGGCAGAATCACAGATATTAAGATATCTCAGTTAACTTTTGGTCGCTTAAGCGATTTAAAATCGCTTAAGCGATCTTGCATGAGACAGTAAAGATCTCTTAGCGTCCGAGATCGCTTAAGTGACTACAGTGGTTTTTGTTTTATTTTTGTTGATGACATTTTATTTATATCGATTGTGCAATTGTGCGAACCGTAAACTGTAAAGTACAAGTTGGAGCCTATATTGAGAAGTACCCTACTTCCCTGCAAGGGTGACGGTGAGGTCGAGCTGGGAGGTTTTTGACGAATAAGGGCCATTTTAGCTAGATGAGGCATGGTGAAAGAGATTTTGTGTGGCACTTGTTTCGGTCAGTTTTAAAATCGAACAAAGTGGAAAAAGTCATTTTGGGGCAGGGAGTGCATTACACGTTGATGCACTCTTAAAATGCAACAAAAAATGAAATGTGGTTCGTGGAGGGAAAGGCCACTACGGTTTGGTATGATGGAGTATGCGTTGGTGACGCTTAGGATGCGGAAAGTGCCAACTAAGGCGGAGGCAGACGCAGTAAACATAGTCGGGAGCCATAAACTTTTGTAAAAAGGTTTTGAAAGGGGCAAGTCTATTACAGGAAAAGTTTTAGAGAAGAGGCTATATACAGTTCGGTTTAGTGATGCAGAGAATAAAATGTGCTTGATATTGTTTTTACATTCTATCTTATGTGGCTGGTGACTCAACAAAAGCGTTGAGAAGATTGGTTGCTGTTTGTAAGCAACTGGGAGTTCTTTAATTCTTATCCTGGGGGGACGGATATCATTTGAGCGAACCATCAAGAGCTTGAAAAAAACCAGACATGGCGTTAAAGCATACCAATGGGGCGGGAAGGCTAAACCAAGCACTTATAATTTTTTGCTTCATGGCATGCTTGTAATATTAATAGCTCTCTGTTATATTTTTTATAATATAGGTGTTTGAATAATGACAGGGATTGTTTTTTTACAATGTAGGCTGGATGTATGAGGCCATCCCTGTCCTCGCTAAGGCAGGGGGGAGAGCAACAATGTAATGTGCAACAGCAATTTCCTAGAGTTGTTCGGTGGCATGTCGAGAGCTGTACCCATTGGGATTATGGCCATTAGAGATTGAGATTCAAGCAGCTGGGGTAGATTGAAGGATTAAGCTTGAATATGCATTGCTTTTTTTATTTGCTTCAATCGGATTGATTTTTTTTCTTATTGTAGGGAGTTGTCCGTCCCTTTTTGACCGCTATTGGGGATGAAGCGGAAGAGGACTATGTCCATCTTTCAAGCAATGGAGGATGAAAGGGATGAACAGATAGACCGCCTGATGCGGACCTAAAAGGGTCACGCATGTGTGGCAGTTGCAGGGCCATTGCTTGACAATGTCATTGATGCTGAGGATAATGAAGCTCGGGGCCGATGAGGAGGAGAAGAGGGAGAAGAGGTTCGTATGCCTCAGCAAACTGGTACAACAAGTACCGCTTGCCGAGACATCGGCGTAGGGAGAATGAGGTTGTTGACCTCATAAACGCCTGTTTGAGAGTTTTACAAACAGCCTTTATGTAAGGCTTGAGAAGATGGAAGAAACAATGAAAAGGGTGGAGAGAAAGTGGATAAGGTGGGAGGGAAAGTGTACAATGGAGGGCGAGTTGGTAGAATGGAGGAGAAATTTGGTGGAGAATTAAAGGCGGTTGAAGTGAAAACTGGCTTGAAAAGAGAGCCGAAAGAGCAAGTTTGTGAATCACCTTACATGGTAGTGACCACAGGTAAAGAAGAAAATGAAGAAACAAATGGAGGAACAACCAGAAATGGAGGGGTTGAGGAGGTTGTGGTGGAAGTGGGGCGGTGATAATGGAGGAGGGGGAGTTGGAGGCAAGGAAGCGGGGATGTAATGGAGGAAGGGGGGGGAGTGGGAAGGGAAATTGGACTCAAATGTTGATTTGTATAGGCCAATAGAGAAAAGAGAAAACTCTTTTAGTCCTATTACAATGGATCGGGAAGTATGGCATATAAAGTGTAAGACAGGGTTATCCCCGAGAAGGTTTCAGAAGTGTTGACGATGGGGACGTGGCTTGAGGACTTGGTGAGTTATTTTCACTAATTTTCCTTATTTTTGCCTTGTGTTTTCCATACTTATCTTGTTGTTTTTATTTGAGCAGCACATCGATGAGATTTGGCACTGATGGGCTACGACAGACTGTGATGGTGATCTGTTGTATCCCGACTGTGCTATCACCGATGTGGCATTTGGGCAAACGCTTGTTTCGGCATATCGGTCTTTAATTAAAAATGCCGTTCTATGTGTATACAAGGGACCGAAGCGAAAACGATTGGCCGCACAACAGTCGGACTGCATCCCTGATGATTTCTGGTTTGATGACAGGATTATGCAGTACGTAAGGGGATCGGCCCAAATATGGCCACATGTGGCCTTTGTTAAAAGAGTGTACTGCATCATCCTCGTCAAACAGATGCACTGGATGCAGTCGTTGCCATCTAGAGGAGGGGTGTCTGAAGATCCTTGACTGCAACCCAACCATTTGTTAGACAAGCAGTTGGAGGTTGAGTTGGAGCCACTGTCCAGGTTGTTCCCGTGGCTGTTGCATGACAGCGGGATGTTTTGGGCAGTTGGGTGATCAGTACTAACCGGAAAGTGGCCAATTCAGCGCTCTACCTGCCCAATAAATGAGTCAAGGTAATTTTGTTTAAACTACTTACATAATACAATTGTTCTATAAGTTTATTATAATGCTAATGTCTTCTTCCTATTGTAGCGCTGATGTGGGCATATGCCCTGAATTTTTCAGTTCGACATGACCAACAGCCCGTGGACAGCTGAATGACAAAACATGAGAGACTGTCAGGAGCGCTGGGCTATCCACTGCTTCCATGGCAATGGATCTGTTTTGAGTGACCAGAACCCAATCAAAGGGTATGAAAGTTGGACGCTGATTTTGTAGTTTATGTGATGTTGATGTTCATACTTGGGTTTTTTGAGTTGAGTTTATGTGATACATGTTAAATTATCAATAGGGGTATATACATGTTCATTTCAATGGTGTTTTGATGTGTACTTTTGTGTCAGAACTGCTTATTTAATTTGTTCTCATTGGCTTGGCTATTTCTAATTCATGCCTTTCTCATATTATGGTGTTTTACACTGCAGGCCCTAAGATGGAATGGTCAATCTCCACAGAAAGTCAACCGAGCACCATATTAGCCGCCCTTGTATTATCATCTTGAATTTGTTGGATGCTAGTGCAAGCCAAAAGCATCGGAAGAATGATGTCGTGGGCATCTTTTCAAGCATAGCCTGCCCTGTACCATCACTGTGTTCTAAACTCTTTGGCATCAAAAACTAAATTAAAGGCAGTGTATAGGAAATTGTAAATAATTTCTATGTATGGTGTGATCTTGTAAAGAATTGG